ATGTTTAGTATATCTGCCTACAGTAAACCTATGTTTAGTATATCTTTGTTTCAAGTATTTTCGATACTAGTTTAAACACACAAGTGACACCTAGATAAGTACAGGGTTGTATGTGTTTGTATCCTTGTGAATGATGTCACCTTCGTGACACCTAGATAAGTACAGGGCTGTATGTGTTTGTATCCTTGTGAATGATGTCACCTTCGTGACAACTAGATAAGTACAGGGCTGTATGTGTTTGTATCCTTGTGAATGACGTCACCTTCGTGACAACTAGATAAGTACAGGGCTGTATTTGTTTGTATCCTTGTGAATGATGTCACCTTCGTGACACCTAGATAAGTACAGGGCTGTATCTGTTTGTATCCTTGTGAATGACGTCACCTTCGTGACACCTAGATAAGTACAGGGCTGTATTTATTTGTATCCTTGTGAATGACGTCACCTTCGTGACACCTAGATAAGTACAGGAGTGTATTTGTTTGTATCCTTGTGAATGATCGTCACCTTCGTGACACCTAGATAAGTACAGGGCTGTATTTGTTTGTATCCTTGTGAATGACGTCACCTTCGTGAACAAATTATCTTCAACTATTACTGGGAAGATTTGTTCATTTTGAACTGATCGATTATAGGGAAGGCAGCTTATCAAAAGCACCCACCGCCAACTCTTGTACTACTTTTATCCAACTGCCAATCTTATATTGTACCCATCTTATATTGTATAGCATTTTTGCAGTCACTGATCGTAACCAACAAATGTTTAACTCGGATTCACAGTTCGGGCACGCTAACCAGAAGGCCACGCCCGGTCTGACGAATGTTAGAAGAAAACACGGGATTAGAATTTTTATCAATCACTGACACTTAGGAATAGAAAAAAAAAGTAAAACATAAGTAAGTTTTACACATAGAAGTTTCAAAATTTAATGTGTTTTCACATTTCTTCCATTTTTTATTTGTGTTATGGAAATAATTACGCAAACATATATAAACTTTATAAAAGGTTTACTTCCACAACTTAAGAGTACCGGTAATTATCCGTCTAGTAGATTTAAGATCTTCCATTCTCCACAATGTTTAGTTTGCCAAATGACCCGGAGAGTGTGAGCCTTCCTAAATTCTCTGAAGCCTATAATTAAATAACCTGCGTCACGTGGTGATTTATTTAAATCGTTAAAAGAATTCTTTTGAAACTGATTAATCTATGAAAAGAAAACAAACACGAGAATTAATAAAATAAAAATATGACGCATTGAATGAGAGAATAGGACCTTTCTTCAAAATACTAAAGAAACAAAGATAAAATAAAAGCTTGAGAAAAGAACGTCGTCGTTGTTTTTTAATATGACTGAAAGTGTGCGGATAATTAATTGTTTGTTAGTTTATTTTAAGAAACAATGAAAGTATCGTGATCTGATGAAGTGGTGCTGTATTGACTTAAAGAAAAGGAAAAACATGTTTGAATTAAGAAAGGAAATACAGACGATAGAATAACTCCTTAAACAACTAGAGACGATAGTGTACTGACTAGAA